ATGCATAAGGAATAGCAAGAAATGGTGTTCTCCATTATAATCCTTTTCGGATCTAGTTATGTGTTTCATACTACTCTAAGCCAAATTCTTCCTCATTTTTTTTTATTAGATAGCATTTTCTTTTGTTTCTCCAAATCAGCCACACACTTTTTAAAAGTCACATTTAGCCATGTATTATCAACCAAAATGCTATCCGACACTCTGGATGAGAGTATAGGTCAACCTCAACATAGTCTAATAGAGAATTATCATCCTTACTAATATCCATAAAGGTATTTAATTTCTTGCTAGCCCTTATTGAATTAACGACTTTAATCATATTGGTAGATAGCCTAGTTTCATTCTCCTTTGTGTTAACGAGTGTCATTAGGTTGCGAGTCTTTGAAGCATCGGAATCACCATTTCGTAGGTTTGTCTCTACACCAATAGAGGGAGACACAATAACGGATTGTTGATAGGCACCCTCTTCGGGAAGAACCATCGTTGTTTTTTCTTAGAACGGATATATAATTGAGGCTCTTCACTTTTTGTATGATTAGGAAAAATCAATAACATATAGCTTAAATTGCATCTCTTTTCCTTTTATATGATTGGAAAAGCTTGCCTCCACCATGAAATAAGGGAGGAGGGACCCTCTTTGAAGTATTGTTAGAATTGAAATGGTATTCCCCATAGAACCTTTCCTTTGTCTTATTTGTAAGCCATAATCCTTAGGGGTATTAGTCATTGTGGCATCTTTAGCTTGCCGCATTTGTTCCTTAGTAGAAACGATAATAGACTCAACTGTTGTCACCGATGCTTGCTCGAATTCTAAGGTATGTGACAAATCCCTCATGTATGACCTTGTAAGTAGCAATGGATGCAGAATAAAGTATTTGATTCCATTATAATGGTTTACCAAAACCTTTTTGATTTATCTAAACCCACTAATATCCAAATTCTAGAAAGAATCGGGGCAATTAAGTATACTTCAACACATACCCGAGCATACATAAGATGAGAGCCATTTAATGTGCGTTTGTTTGATCGAAGAAATGTACCAAAAAGTCATAAAATTTCCTATAAGAAAGCTATAGGGAGATGGAGAGATGGAGGCCCGGAAGTTTAATCCAAATAACAACCATAGTCGATTCATATCTTATGTTAAATAATTCATCCCATCCGAATAATCGAAACATAGAATTTTCTATCATGTGAGAGTCTTGTGACCAAGCCTAGACAAAATCCTCTTTGGATATAAGTCCGAAGAGGACGTGATGAGGATTTATCAAGCCAACCACTAATGTATCCTTTAATCCCCAATGTGTTCGGATATATGTTATGATTGTGTTGATAGGAGGGCATCCCTTATAGAATTTGGCTATTAAAAAAAAAATAAAAAATTTTTGTCGATTGTTGCAAATATACAAAAGAAAACTCAATCAATGGATCCTCTTCATATGTTGATGGTGGTTTAAGGTTAATGGTGATGGTTGGAAAGAAAGAGAATAAAGAGATTGATTTATTTATGGTGGTGACTTTATAAGAGAAATTAAGAGTTTTTTATGTTAGTATGGTTCATGTGGGTAGTTGTGAGGAAGAAGATGAAATTGAGGGGGAGGGGTGTTTGTCGAGGGGATGGGGTTTCCCCAACAGGGAGAGCCTTCATCAACTTTGGTAGTGGTTGGCTAAGAAACAAAAAGGCGCTCTCCGGAGAGGGAAAACCTAATTTTTGTCTTTTGTAATTTTTCGATTTCTTTATTTTTTAGGATTTTCCTAAAAATTTCATTAATTCAAAAACCACAAGAATTAATCCTAGCACATATACTAAGGTAAAAAAACATGAAATAAAAAAAAAATTTAGGTTTTCTAAGTCACACTTAAATTTTAAGTACACTCGATGGCAAGTCAAATTTTGCTCGTAACGACCTTTAACTTGAAGCACACCATCATTTATTATTTTTCTCACCTACACCACAAGGAGAAAAAGGTGAGCTATGCTCATTAATTATAGTCCATGCATGCAATACACGTTATGCATTTAAGAACCTTTCTTTTCATATCTTTTAAAATTTATTTTCCTCTTCAAGCGTACCTTATCGATTATGTATATAACTCGCATTATTTTAAAACACATAATTGTAAAAAATAAAAAAAGCAATAGGTATCTTCTCCTTTTTTGTCCTTTCTTTTTACTTTTTCTCGCAAGAGGGTGATCATTCCTCTTGCAAACTTTTTGAAGATGCCTAGCCATTTCATTTGAAAAACATGCCATTTTCTTTTCCTTTTCTTTGAAAATCATGAAATTTTTTTTCATGATTATGGCATGAACAATGTAATGGCATTACCTCAATCATTTTTCATAAACATTTAAACATGGATATGTGCTAAATAAATAATTTGCATGCATATAATCCATCATTGTTTAAACATACATCAATTGACATGAAAATGGAAGTTGGCCAAATCATATGGCCTTAGTTAACTTAAGCATCACAAACATTATGCTTGGATGAAACACATACATAATTAACGATAACCGCATTGATCATTAACCATCCAAAACACATTCTAATTAACTCATTTTAACCATGTAATCAAACATTTGTCAATCAACACATCAAAACAGATCCTAGTTGAATGCCTCTCTTAGCATACCTAACATTTAAATTCATCAAATCATACATTTAAACACTTTAATTCATGTTATTCAATTCCATAATCATGATTTCAATACCATTAGATGAAAGAAACAATTCTTCCTTAATCGTAGATTTGGCCAAAACATGTAATCAAGCAACCAAGACTAATTCTTCAATTAAGCACATATAATCACATCTAACCCACCATATAAACACATAATTAACATAATTACATAAATTAAACCAATTATACCTAATTACTAATTACGTCTAAAATAAGTAATCAATCAAATCAAGAGAAATTTTCCAATCAAACACATTTAATCATGCTAAATCAACCGTTGGAATATTCAAATAACATAATTACATGAAACTAAGAAATTTTTCACAACTCATGCTTTAGGCCAAATCATCCAACCCTAACTATCAACTTCAAATTTTTTATTAAACTTTAATTAAGAATTCAAACATATTAATTCAACAATTAAAATCAAGATCACAACAATAATTCATCATGATCAACCAAATTCAACTTAACCGAAGTAATGGAAATATAAACCCTAAGGCTCTAAACTTCAAATATTAATCACCTAGCATAAAAAACACTCAATTCTTGTGGTGTAGTTGGGACTACACTTATCTTGATTGATGCTACATTAATCTCTATCTTGAAAACTTAAAAAATCCTCCTCCTTTCTTCCTCCAAATGTTTCAGCCAAGAACCTAATTTTTCCTCCTTCTTTGTTTAGCTTTTCGAAGTGTTTCGAGATTGGTTTTGGGATGTGTTTACCGATAATTTAGTGTTTTTGGATGGTGGTTTGCCTTGATTCTCCTTGAATTTGGCTTGAACTTGGGTTGTTCTTCATTTGTTCATCATCCTAGCCGAATAAAAAACAGAAAATTACTTGAGATTTTACCAAGTGGGAGGACACTTAGATTGATCCTTTCATTTTCTTCCCTTGGTAATTTTTCTAGAAATTTCTTTTTTTTTTTCCTTCGTTTTTCCTTTTTTTCTTTTCTTTTGTTTTGTTTTTTTTTTTTCCTTCACATGGCCGAATAAACTACCCTTCCTTAATCCATTTTTCTTGCAATTCTGGTATGGCTAATCGTCCTTATCTAGCCAAATTATTTGGTACCTTAGTTTTCAAAAGTTTAAATTTTGGTCATGAAACTTTATTAATTATTTCAATTGAGTCCTTCTAGTTTAGTCCTTAAACTTTTAATTTCACCCATTAGACCGTTAATCTAGGCTTTCCCAAGTTTCATAGCAGTCACTAAACTTTATTAATTATTTCAATCAAGTACTTAAATAAAAAATTATTTCAATTGAGTCCACGGGATATTTCGATTAAATCCCTAGGTCACCCATGCATTTATAGTAATTAATTATTTAGACTTATTAAATTAAACATTTAATAATTTATTCACACGTCACATTATTATGCTTGCATAAAATATAATTTCCTATACAAACATAAATATTAATTTTACACATTTAAATAAATATTCACACGACATACATTATTCATAAATATTCACGCATGAAATTAAATTATTCATACACTTATAAACACTCAATGAGGTTTTACGTCAATGATATTACACTAAGTGACATATTTTTTAAAAATATTTTTAATTAAAATTTATTTTATAAAATATTATCCAAATATAATTGTAAAAAAATATGAACAAAATATATTAATATAGTATAATAATTAATAATATTTTTTATTCTTGTAAAAAAACAAAAAAAAAAAGGCAATTTTTTTTTTTTTTACAAGTGAGTGAGTAGCACACCAGAGTCATCTCAAGTCTAACCCACTGTCTCGTTGATGATCTGGACCGGTTTAATTACAAATTGTTTGAACTTTGAAAACTGTACTTCATATCCAAGATATTTTTAAGGTCGCTTGCAGACGAGTGGTTTGAAAAGTCTCAATGCTTCCATGTCCAAATCAATATATAAAGGTCCCTTGACCATACGTTTATTTTTCTAAAGTATTCATGACATTAACGATGCCATTCCTGTTAAGAGTTAAGACTCATTCCTTGCTTCTAAGAAGCATGTAGCGTAAGTCCCATTTTCAGCCGGTCGAAGAGAATCCTTCTGGCACAGCAACCAGGAGTCAACTAGAGTAGAATTTTCCAGTCATAAAACGCGGTTGAACTTAAACTAATCAATGATCTATAGTCGACAAGAAAAACCAAAAAAGCAAGATATGTGTATCCAGAAACAATTTCAATGAAAGAAGAATTGAAAATAGTTAGTTAGCAACCTTCCCATACTTGATGCTTAAGAATATAAGTAACTGGTCACCTTCATTGTGATCAGATGGAACAAGTAGCCCAGGGAGTCAACATGAGAAGAACTTTCCGGTCATGGAAACGCGGTTGACAACTAACAACAAATATGGTGTCCAAGAAAAAACGAAAGAGCGAAAAATGCGAAACTACAATCCCACTCGAGAAAAGGTCAACAATGAGGTATTGGGATCAGCTGAAGGTTGGATTTACATGCTAATCATATCAAACTCTCAAACTGCATGTGCCTGATAGTCTTCAAAAAAATCATACAACGGTCTAAATATGAAACGCCCGATTCAATTCATTACACAACGATCTTGGAATAAAATTTAATCTGTATAAATTATCTTTCAAATTGCAAAAGTATATATTGTTTATGCAATCACAGAAAACCCCAGTACCTCTAAATCTATTGGCGTAAAAAGGAAAAAGAAAGAGAAAAAACTTCACTGGATAAGACCAACGGCATGCCATTCCGTAGACAAAGAGAAGTACATGCTGGGAATAATTCATTTAATTGAGTAGCAACAAAACAAGCTTAATTTAATTATGATACAAAGTGCTTTTTATATTCGCATTCTTGATTTGACTTATTTCACCACCCCGAATAACCAACTGTATTTCTCCAATTGTGATGGCCTAAACTGGCGAAGGCGAAATGAATGAAAAAAAATTGCAGACTATTCTTGATAGGATCAATTGATGTCGTCTGGAGCATGCAATGATCCCCGCTTATCATAATCACACACGTAGATAATTCTTAATCTACCCAAAAACGTCCCCACCTGCATTTAGACGGAGGCCTGACATTTGACATGAACATTAAAATGACAACTATTGTTTTATATTCAAGATAAATTGATGTTGGTGGTGAACTAAAAAGTGTAACAAAAAAACACACGGCATATCCTGGAAGCACATTGCATCATATATCTTCATCATTTTATTTAACATGATGATTGATGTAAATAAAAAAATAATAAATAATAATGGTCGTTGGCACTACCAATATATTAGCCCAAATGGAAGATAGCAGCAGATTCGAGAGTGAAAGCGATATTAATTAACAGCAAACAGTTTGCTTTCAAATTCATGAACAGCCATTTTGATACAAATCATCTGAGGGAAATGCATTTACTACACATGCTGGAGAGAAGAACTCAAAGAAATAAAGAAGTTAACAAATCTTGTCATACAGATTAGAAAGGGCTCGATTTGACATTTCCTTCCCTGTTTTATATTTCTTATCTTTTTTGGATTTGTCTTTTATTACGAACCGGGGAGAGCTGCACTAGATGGGAGTTGAATGGGCGGTCTTCCTCGGGAGGGCATCGACGGGACATGTGTCCATTTGTCTTTAATTAAAGAGTTTAATAAATTATTTAGGATAAATTACTCTGAGATATCATAAAATCATATAAACCATCAAAAGGTTTGAAGATTTGACAGAAACTCCCTATAATATAAAAACGCTCTTAATTACTATTTAGATATATATATAAAAAAATAATAGTTGCATTAACAAAATTTCAAAAACAGAGAGAACATTAAATGGAAACTTAAAAAGAAGAATAAAATTAATATTGTTCATGTACCAAAAAACCAAAATCATGTCCCATTTTTTGCATAAACTTTATCTATTTTTTAAATTCAAATTTTAGAACTAACTCTTAAGAAAATTTATTAAATTTTAATGAATGTAACAGATTGATAAAGAAGTTACATTCCTTATATGGTCTGAAGAAGGAATTTAATCTTACTTAACATATCAGCTGATTTAAAAATACTTCTTATTGTAAAAAAAAAAAAATTATAAAAATATGATAAATATTTCAATGTATACCTAAAATATTTTTTGAAGTTTTGCATCCATCTATTTTAATAGTAATTATCAATATTACTTAATGCATCTATTTTGAAGAAATAGACATCTACAAATATGATATGAAAGAAAAAAATCATGTTTATAGCTAAAAAATAATAAAAATATATTTTTTTAGGTTAAAAAATATATTTTTAAATTCTCTCTTGTTTCTTTTTTTTCATGTACATTTTTCTTTTATAGAATACCTATTGATAATTATTTTTGGCTTGGCATTAGTCCTGTCAACTGGGAAAAAAACTTAGCTTTTTCTAATCTTGGAATGACGTCTAGTTTCATTCTTAAAATATAAAAACAAAGACATAAAAAGGACAACAGCGTTTTATAAGCGGAAGAAGAAAAAAGTCAACAATGACCGTCCAACAGCGTTTTATAGAGTACCAAAACCCACCTTGTCCTAACGTTGGCTAAGATGCTGTGGCAGGATTAAAAAAAACCCTTTCATAATTAATCGACTCTTTTATGAAAAGTCTTTTCAATTCTTTCAAGAGCTTTCCTCGTGTGCTTCCATTTCCCGTTCCAAACTGACCTCACTCTCTCTCCCCTCTCTCATCTCTAGTTTTTCTTTTATATAAAAGGCAAGACAGCACCAAAACATGTTAACTACACGCACCTTGAGAAAGCAAGCAAGGCACCATCCTTGTATGAGCTCTGCCTTTTCTATATATCAGATCTTTTTCAAGTTCATAACATCAACTAACATTCATAACTAACTTTTCTTTCTTTCTTTCTTTCCTTCAATTTAAAGGGCTCTTTAATTTTTGTTGATTTTATATAATCTTAAAACCCACCATTCGGATAACAAAACCCACCTACCATGGCTTCTTGTCGAGAGCCCTGGTTAATTTTGAGGTTTTTGTTGCTTTTAGTTTTCGCTGTATGTCAAACGACAGCGTTTGGAGAGGTCACGAGGGCGCCTCAGATAGAGCAGCAGCAGCTGCAGCAGGAGGGGCAACGGCAACGGCACAAAAACGCATATGCGACGATGATGTATATGGGGACTCCTAGAGACTACGAGTTCTACGTGGCGATACGGGTGATGCTCAGATCTCTTGCCGGATTACACGTGGATGCTGATCTCGTTGTCATTGCTTCCCACGATGTTCCTCCCCGTTGGGTTCATACCATGTAAGACTCCAACTCCCTCTCTCTTTTAAGTTCGCCTATTTTTGTCCCTCTCCGTTAACTCTAATTGCGTCATTTTAACATAAGGCTACCCCTATATATTTTCTCTCATCTTTATTATTATTATTATTATTAATTTTCTTGTCAAATAGAAATTTTGGCGTTAGGTAAACTGAATTGAAATCAATTTGTTGAACGAGCATAGGGTTTTGGGACCAATAATTCAACACCTACTTGTCTTGTCAGAATAAAAAGTTTCATTGAGTATAATTATGTGGAGTTACATTGTTCATCAATGTGTTTATTCCACAGTTCTTGCAAATAAAATCACGAGAATTTGTGTGTTGGAGTTTTGGTTAGAGTCCCAATTCTTGGTTGATAGAGAGCTGGGACAATCTATTTATGGTGGTAGGAATTGATTGTTAAGAAAGAGCACGTGAAATGAGGGTTGTTCTAGGCAAGGGCCAAAGAGTATATGCTAATATTTTTGCTGGCATTGGTCCTTTTAGGCAATACAAGCAAGTTTCCATTAACGTTGAGAAACGTTACGTCATTAGACGTGGCCTGCTTCGGTTGGTGAGTCAATTCTTGAATGAATAAAGGTTATTTGTCCTCAAGAGATGCCTCGCATTGCGCGAAGTGATTTCCTGTTTCAATGCTTCTTCTAGGGCAGATTTTTACTAGGGGTCTCCTTCGGCTAAGATGGCCTCTGGGGAAGGACAGATTGCTAGTAGTAGTTGTTTGGATGACACTAGGATAACATCTGAGGTAGATGGATGGCTCTATTTTTTATTTTATTTTTCCCTTCTAAAGTCTACGTCAAATTCCTTTGTCTGAAACCATTATTGAACCAGAAGATTTTTTTTTTTAATTAAAATCAGGAAGATAAAGAACAAAAATTAATTTTCAAGAACCTGTCATTGAGATATATATTTTTATGCGTTCCAAGAAAATAGAAGCGGTCCCACTAATTAGTTCTACATAGAATATTGAGTGAAAAGTCAAGCAAAAAGACAGCCGCACTTAATTACATCTAGACGATATTGAATATTATCGCAATAATCACTAGTGTTAGGAAGAGGCTGAGGAGGTCCTTCGTGCTAATCTCTAATAGTAATACCCATTAAATAAATGCATGTTTGTTCCAAGTCCATAAACGCGTCCAAGGTCCAGACGAAGTTTGAAATACTCTGCCCCCCACCCACTCAACTGCTGACATTTTAACTCGTTCCTTGAAAGAGGAAAAAAGGTTTTGTTTTTTTGGAGCACGGAACATTGGGTACGTACTTTTGTGCACCGTCTCTTAAAAATATCTACTCGTATTAGTAATAAAAACCTAAAAGGGGTTGTACAGTGATTTTTTCTGTTGATGGATACTGTACACCGTATCTCAATTTACTGTTCACACACAAATAAACCATTCGTGTGGTATTTTTTTTATTTTCATGATTTTGAGGGACGTTTTAGGTTTTACATCGTGATGTTTCGATTCAGTTCTTGAATTGCATTTTTCTCTTTCAATTGAAGGAGAGAGAGGGAAAAATTCGAGAGAAAGAAAGTAGGAGAGAGAAGATCGACCTTCATAACATTTTGAGACACAAATTCAGATAAAGAAGGAATCATATGATTGTACTTGATGCGATAAGTTTATTAGTTTCCATTATAAGTCCATTTTGCTTTAGAAAAAAGAAATCTAAAATCTAAAATAATTTCGGTTTTTAATTTTTGATTGGGTTTTGAGGGGCTTTTAAGGTTGATCCAAATAGATTTAAAGATTTGAAATGAGTTTATAGTGGTTTTGGGGATAAATTTGAGATGTTTTTGGCAAAAAAATGGTGCAAAAAAAATTGATTTTTGGATGGAAATGGTGGTACGATTTGCCGGTAACGTGAAGTTACCGAAAAAGACAGCAGGAAACGATGTGTTCCCCATATAGGGAATGTGCCGGTCACGTGCTTTTACTTAGAAGGGGCTTGGATTCTGAAACCCAAATGCCCGAGCTTGACTTACGAGGCTCAAATGCGAAGTCCTGGTTATGCAGGCCTGCCTCTCTCTCTCTCAATTATGTATATAATTTTTTAGATTTATGGCGATAAACATCATTTTCTGTAATAAACAGAATATAAACTTTATGAAGTGAAATTTTTAGAAGAGAAAATTTTCATCAAATTAAGTTAATTAAGATAGATTAATCGATATTTTTGATACAATGATATTTAAAAAAAATATAAAAAATCAGTAATGACTGAAATTAATTGTAGTACATTTTATAAGCGGCAGCGTGCGGTACCGCTTACTGGAGGAGTCCATGTTAGTTGTTGCTGCTGGTCCCGTGTCTATTTACTATACAAAGAATTAGGTGACTATTTCAAACGAGTTGCTAATTGTCATCAAGGTCGAACGAAGTGAAAAAGAAAACGAGTGGGTAGCTCCCATTTCTGACCCAAAATTCGCTAGCCACACAAAACGGGCACTAGCGAATTAATTAAATGCGCTAGTGTTTGACTGGGTGTGTAGCGGCACGTTCCTTGCTTGTGACACTGGCTTGGTCTCTTGCTGGAATGCCATATCTGTTTTCTAATCTAATTTAGCGTACTTCGTCAAAAGTCATAACCTCTGCATGTGCCTGGTTGGAGAGATATGAGATATTAAATTGACTTTTTATTTGATCTTAGGTCATCAAATTTATGAGCCTGTTCAGGAATTGATGCAGAGGACAAGTTCAATATAGAAACACTTAAGCAATCTCAATGTATAATGTTGCCATTCCATTATCTAAATTAATAAAATAAGCAACCAGTTATTGTTTTGTGATCCAGGGAACAGGAAGATGGCGCAAGGGTAATGAGAGTGGAAAATGTGGATAATCCATATCAGAACCAACCCAATTTTGATAGGAGATTTAAATTAACATTGAACAAACTCTATGTATGGAAATTGGTGGAATACGAGCGGGTGGTCATGCTTGATGCTGATAATCTTTTCCTTAGAAAACCTGATGAGTTGTTCCAATGTGGACAATTCTGTGCAGTTTTCATCAACCCCTGCATCTTCCATACTGGCCTCTTTGTGTTACAGGTAATGTTAATCCACCTCTCTCACATTTTTTTTTAATTTTTATTTTAAAGTTCCACTAATAAAGTATTTATTTTTTACTTATGTTTGACATTGTAAATTTGGTATTGCAGCCATCCATGGAAGTGTTTAAGGACATGCTTCATCAGTTGGAAATTGGGAAAGAAAACCCAGATGGTGCAGACCAAGGTTTTATTAGCAGCTACTTCCCGGACTTGCTTGATATGCCAATGTTCCATCCACCTCTAAATAAAACCTCAGTCAACGGATCCTATAGACTTCCTTTAGGCTACCAAATGGATGCCACTTATTACTGTGAGTCAGACAAGAATGCTCAATTAATCAAATTTTTATGCTTTGAACAACTTCTATCAATATTTCTAGATATCATTATATAATGCAGCTGCAAAGTTTATGACTAAAATCACAAGAATGTGATGTGACCATATCTAAATTGTGTTGGGTGTTTGTTGTTTTCAGATCTTAGACTCCGCTGGAACGTACCGTGTGGGCCTAACAGTGTGATTACTTTCCCTGGTGCGTCATGGTTGAAACCATGGTATTGGTGGTCATGGCCTGTTTTGCCATTAGGCATTCAATGGCATGAACAACGTCGCCAAAATCTTGGGTAAGCTATAAGACATAACTTTTCTGTTCTACAGCCAAACATTTCGTGAAAATCTTAGAGCTGTTGCAGCAATATTGGTAACAAACATTTCTTGATGCAGATACGGAGCAGAGACGCCCATGGCACTTGTTCAGTGCATAGTTTACCTAGGTATAATAGCAGTAACACGTCTAGCGCGGCCAAATATCTCCAAGCTTTGCTATCGGCGCACAGAAAAGAACATCTCCGTGATACAAGCCGGTCTTAAAATGTTAGCAATATGGTCAATTCTTGCAGCCTATATACTCCCCTTCATCTTCATCCCTTGTACAATTCATCCTGTATTAGGCTGGGGATTGTACTTGCTCGGTTCGTTTGCACTTTGTTCCATAGCAATCAATGCGTTTATGCTGCCGATGCTACCAGTTTTGACGCCATGTTTAGGGATATTTGGGGTACTTTTGGTCATGGCGTTTCCTTTTTACCCAAATGGTATTATAAGAGCTTTATCTATTTTTGGTTACGGATTCTGTGCTGCACCTTTTCTCTGGGTATCGTTGGTTAAGATCATGGCAAGCCTTCAAGTATCACTTGAAAGGGAAAATTTCTTCCCTAGATTGGGTGAATCTTCTCCGCCTTCTGGATTCAACAAGTTGTATTAGTGGATTCATGGTTCAAATCATTGTGATTTCGTAGTCTGCACTTGAAAGGATCATATGATTCTCCACAGATTTGAAGGTGGTTGTTTATGTGGGAAGGAAAGATAAATGGGGAAGTTTGATTTTGCATTAAGCTTCATTGGCTTGTGCTCTGTTTCATTGTAACATTTGCCCCAGTTTTGATTGGGGTGGCCCCAGATTACTATTTGATGAAAAGGTGGCCGTTTTAGATGTATAAAAATTGTTTGATTTGGATTCATAGATTGATCCCAAAATCTTGTAGTTGTATTTCTACTAGATTTCATTTATTTATACTCCATTTTTGTACAGATGCTTCTTATTCTTAGTTACGATCCCTTACTCTTTTTTTCCCTTCTTATTTTCAGCTTCAATGTTTTTATTATTGATGTATGTTATTCATTGATTTTACCAATTTTTAATTGCTTCCATTTTCGTGTACATGGCCAAAAGCATCTATTAAAACCCGCCAATCCCAGTTTGCATCAATCTATTAGGCACTCATAATAATTGATATCTAAAAGAATAAAAAAATTGACGATGCTGTCAGGTTCGGATCAGGATGTTCAGTGCGGTTTTATTTTTTTTATTTTTTTCGGAAAGGAAAAGGCAATAAGGTTTTGAATTAAATAAATATCTTAGAAACAAAACAAAAAAAAATGTTTAGACAATATTTAAAGTGTTCTAAAATACTAAAATAAGAAAAAATCCCAGAAATATTTTGTAATTACTCAAAATATATATATACACTACAGAAAGTTTAAAACGCTATGAAAGATGGTTTGAGACAAATTAAGAACATATTCGGGATGCAGGATCTAATCAAGTCCGCTCACTTTTGCAAGGCAAGCTGGTTATTGATTTGACAGACCCAAGTTTTATAAAATGTTTCAGGCTTGGGCCGTTGGATGGGATACTCGGGCCATGATGCGGTCTAAGTTATGTAACCTGTGACTGGTTAGGCTTTCCCTTTCTTTTTCTTTGTTCTTTGCGTATAGACTGGACTTCTGTTTTTTTGGATGCCACACATACTAGACTTTAGTTGTTCATGTTAAAGGTTTCATAAAACCTGAAGTGGATGCTTGCCCCTTTTTCTTTTCTCTTCTTTTTATTTATTTTTTTAAATTACTATGTATCTAAAAGATGTGGGGTTTTGAATAGTGAGTTTCACTGTTCATCCACTCATAAATAACTATTCACCAGTTTTTTTTTCTTTTTTTATAATTTCTAAATTATTTCATTTTGGTCCCTAGAATCTTAAAAGAAAAATTTTAACCCCTTAGTTGATGTACTATACTTTTTTTTTGGGTTTTTTTCTTTGATTTTTTTTCATCAATTTATGTTATTTTTTTTTATTTAACTCGGTATTAAAATTTTAAAAAAGCAATCGTTATTTTTTCACATAAATTGATGATTATATACTATTATTATTGTTTAAAATTGATCTTTTCAATTTATTATAAAAATTCACATCAAGTTAACTTTTATTCTTATTTTTTAAAAAAAATTAACTATACATCTTCTAACATAATTATTTTTTTTCTCATAAAATGATGATTATATAATATATATGATATGTTTTTAGATTTTAGAATAAATATATACTATTCTTATTGTTTAAAATTGATCTTTTTAATTTATTATAAAAAATCATATCGGGTTAATTTTTTTTTTTTTTGTTTTAAAAATTAACTATACATCTTCTAACATAATTATTTTTTTCTCATAACCGACGATTATATAATATGTACAATACGTTTTTAGATTTTAGAATAAATATGTACTATTCTTATTGTTTAAAATTGATTTTTTCAGTTTATTATAAAAATTCATATCAGGTTAATTTTTAATCTTATTTTTATATTAAAACTTAACTATACATCTTCCGACATAATACAAATTATTTACTATGAATATTTTTTTAACATTATAGAATCAATTTATTTGAAATAAAATAAATAAAATAATTTTTTAAAGGAACCAACCAATTATTCAAATATAGTTTTTTATACTAATTTTATTGATTATTTTATAAATAAATATATATAGATCAAATACATATATTTGAAAAAAAAAATATGTCAAAAGAATCATTGCTGCTGGACTGGTTAAGGGCAAGACTCATGACATGGATAAACCTTTTCTACTACTGGACTGTAAAGAATCATTGCCCAGGTCCCCTTCAAATTTTTTTTCTCAATGCTGGACTGGTTGGCAAGAATCATTGCTGCAATTTTCGCAAAATATGTTTCATTTAACTAAACCTTTTCAGTATATATTGTTAACTCAAAGAGTTTTAATGAATCAACTTGTTCATGGACTTGATGTTGCCCTAATTTTGAGCCATGCAAAATTTTGACCAAATAAAAATCAAGCCCAGGTCTGTGAACAATTCTTTCACTTCATAAAGAGGATGGTGGAAAGACTTGCTTGGGCTTGGCCTATACACGGCCAGCCGAATTTCATGCTTCCTCCTCACCCAAATTATGAAAGAGTTTTATTGAAATTTTAAATGATCCTTCTTGAAGTTGAATTGTTATTATTATTTTTTTCAATCAAATGTTAAGCATTAACCCCTTCAACTTTTTGGTTCATCTCCTAATTTTTTTTAGTAATACGAGAATTGATTGCCTTTCAATTATTTTTTATGGGTATAAATTGATTTTAATATTAAAGATTTCAAGCTTTAACGTTCTTAGAATTAGAAAAAGAACATGAAAAGTGAAATTTGAATATTTAATCTCTTTGGTAAAAGTCTAAAACTCCTACCAATGTAGCCACAATTTTTTGTTGCTCATCTCCTAAAATATGCTCAAAAAAAAAAATTATCCCTTTAACATTTAAACTCCTCTAGTTACCTTATACAATTTTTATATGAAATAAAAAATTAACTCCTTCAAGATTTGTTCACAGGGGGAGAAAAAAAAAACCAAAAAACTATGAGATTAGGCAGCTTGGCTTGATGCTTAGTCCTCAACTTACTCATACGTGCTTCTTTTTTTTTTTTTTAATATATTTGCACAGAAAAAAATGATGACTAATTAAGTTTGTGTAAACTATTACAAAGTTAGAAACATTTAATTTGACCTATGTGGAAATTTAATCCTGTGTCCGCTACTAGCTATAAGTTCTTTGGTTTTAAATCTATAAATCAACATTTATAAAAAAAATATATATTTTTTAAAATGCATGATATTTATGTGTAAAATGTGTTCTTAAAATAATTCAAAAAGAGATATTTATTATGAATTCATATACAAATTCTTCTGAAAATATTATTTATTATAAAAAAAAAATTCGAAATGTCAGATTAGCTCCATAAAAACCTTTCATCTTATAAAAATCATTGAAATTTTACTTTTTCTATAGACTTTTTTTTTTTTTTCCTCACTAAGCCACCCTACATAACCAAAAAGACATGACAATAGAATATAACTGTACTTTTAATTTATCATAATTTGAGAAATTTGCATATCCAGCAATTGATTTCTTCAATAAAACAGATTTAAATCTTAATAATTTAATTTTTTTTAATTGTTATAAAAGTAGTAGAAAAGGTCTATTCATGTTATGAATCTTAAAATCTTTTAATTCTTACAATGAACGAAATAAATCTAGAACCAAACATGAGGATGGTCATCTCCTTCAATCTAGACCTTTTTTTGGTTGAACACGTAAACTATACTTTATTTGGCTGCCGGTCGTTATCCTGCATCTTAAATAATGCTTCACAAAAACCTTCCATCTGGCAAAAATAATAGTTGAAAATTGAGTTTTTATATATATATATATATATTTGCTCGATCCACCCATCATAGCAGGCCACACCACACGACACGGCTAAAAACACAACCAATAAAATCTTAGGTGTTTGTCATCATTCTCGTTTTACTCGAGGAAAAGATAGTTTTTTCTAAGTTCGATAACCAGAGTATTTTTTTGACACTAAGTTTATTTTTCGAAAAAAAATTCCCAACCAAATAAGCTCTCAATTTTTTTAGAAAAGAACCAGTAAAACAAAAACAAAAACGGAAAAAAACAAAACCAAACAGCCCCTTTAATTACGACATTGGTGTATGATTTTTTGTTTTTTTTTTAATACATAAGAGAGGTCCAACAAACCTTTCACCACCATCCCTCAGGGTTTATATCGGGATCTCTAACGAAATTGATGCCAATTTTAAGGGTCTGGCTATAGTGATAGATATAATTGTTGATGAATGTGATTAATGTTCCTCTTCTCTGCTCCTCGATAGTACGAGTGAGATCCCTCAGACTAATCCGATTCACGTGCACATCCATCACAAAACCAAACCGACGACCAAGATTTAACACTGGAACACAACGTCAACTGAAACTACGTGACATTAAAGGTGTGCAAACAGTTCAGTTAATCGAAAAATCAAATATATCGAATTGAATTACGCATTTTGGTTCGATTCTAAACTTAAATTTGCTAAATTTAAAATCAAACCGAAAAACCAAAAATATTTCGGTTCGATTCGATTTTTAGAAAAAGAATTTCGGTTTCAACCGAAAACCGAAAAAATTGACGAGTAATTTTTTTTTCCCTAAATCATAATCTAAATCCCTAAGGACCTTAACTCTAAAAGACCTAACTATAGTTTGTCTTTGCTCACAAAGAGAACTTCTCAATAATTTGTGTTTGGCTAGCGGGAAAGAAATCAAGAAAGTGAAAAAATAAATGTCAAACATAGAGAGACTGCAAAAAATGTTTGCAAGTGCAGGAGGTGCATTGGGCCATCCACAACCAGATTCTCCCACTCTTGATTCCTCTAGCAGATCTGCATCTCCTCTCTTAGGCTCTTTAGAATGCTTAAACAAGGTATGTTTTTTCAAAACACAAAACCTATAGATAAGACATATTTTACTTTTAGGAATTTGTTGTTAGTTCTTTGTTAATTCGAATTTAAACCCATATTCTAGAGTTTTGGATTTGAATATGTTTTCTGGATTTATTGTTTTTTTTTTAATTGAATTTTGAGGAGTTGTTAAGAATTGAATTTTTTTATGTTTGATTTTGGTGGATGTGGATGATAGTAAGAGTCTGGGTTACTAATGGAAGTGATGGGTTTGATGCTTAGAGAGTTTGTGGATGAATATACTTGTTCGTGTTCAATCGAGCTTTTCACTTGTTCATGCATTTCTTTTATACAATGTTATCCAGATTTCTCGTGTGGATAAAAATAATCATGAGTAATTTTTTCTAAGCACAAAAGAATAATACATTGAGGTAGTTTTCATGTTGGATGTGCTTTTCCATTTAATTGAAAGCACAATATATTACAGGATTAGAGACTTGAAATTGTGACTCGCCCTATCAAGTATCACTCATGGCCATGGGCCATGTTGCCCTGAAATTTTTAGCAGGTTTTCAATGCAAGCTCCTTTGGAGTAGATCCAGCACGGACTTCTACAAGGGACTCAATATGCAGAATTTCAAGCCATAAAGGATCATCAAGCATACGAGCAACAAAGGTGAAATACTATGTTAGAAGTAGTCCTACAATTAGCCATGGTTGTAGCTAGTGTGATAGTGATCAAGGCAATCATGCTTACAACTGGTGTGAGAGTGATCATGTTGATTGAATTCAAAAGAAGAGTGTAAGAATGAAGAAGAATTAGCTTTATATTGTTATTATATTTGTTCTTTATCATTTTGGGGTGAGATATTAAGATATGGAGAAAATTTCAAATTAATTCAATTATTGGCTAAAACAATTTGGTAATGCTCATATCAGTGTAACACGGGTTTTTCTTGACATTTTTCTATTTGGTTTTCTTGATATTTTTCTTTAAAAAGATAAAAAAAAATGGCTTCAATGGAAACATTTTTTTTTCTCTTCTATTGAGATCTATGCTAGGTAGAATCTTGCGGATAAATGAATTTTATTTTTCAACAAAATATTTCGATTAAAACCAAATTTTTTCGAAATTGAATCAAAATATTTCGGTTTCAAACTAAATTTACAGAATTTATTTTGGTTTGATTTAAATTTTTGTTTTTCTCAATTCAATTAACTAAAAATCAAATCGAATCGTATAAGATTAAACCGTTTAATCGAATGATCACATAGCCCCACTCAAGTCTGAGCCGTAAAGGCTCCTGGAGGGTAATTCCAATTTCAACAGACATAACGTGTCAGACCTGAGTTGGCTGCCATCAAACAGTCCATCCATGCCAAAAACGTTACCCCACCTAACAAAAACCCAAAAGCATCTTCTGGTTTTAGCTGGGGTCCAAACCTACAATCGAATCCAATCATAATCAGAGACTTTCTGCTGCTCGGAATCCGTTTTCATCACAAAAGGCGACCTGTGTAAGAATTTGGATATTTTTTGTCCCATGCCCTAATTGCAGGAGGCATGGGTTTAGTCCCAACGTTAAGAAAAAAGTGGCTTTTCAAAGCAGGTGGGGTCTATTACAATATTCTCTAAATTGGAAGTTGGGACCAGGGGCAGAAATATACAAATGAGGTAGAGATACCACAATAGAAAATAGTATTGATCCATGACTGGAACATAATTGGTCAGGTACACTAACGCCATCGGTCCACCATTTTGGGGCAAGGTGACCGTTTCAGATAGAAAGCGATATGGAAACAAGTGGGTGCCCTCTACGGCTCTACTACTGCTGCTTAGGATAACAGTATTGAATACTTGTAATTCTTTGTTGTTTTAGTTTTCCTGCTGTTAATTAAGCCCTAAATTATAGGGATTACTGCGAAAAGCTCCTCCTAAACAAGCCTTTCTAGGGTTACTTTTGTTCGGCTAAAACTGTTAAACATTTCCTGTTTCAGCATGTTCTTTCTTGAACCTTTTCACAACATATATATATAAAATATGGATCCCATCTTATGCTTTTGCATGTGCTTTTTAAAGTTAATTTTCCTCGTGTAGTCTCATATGGATGAATTCTACATTGCGAAGCTGTTCTTTTTTCTTTTTCTCTTTTTTCAAACATGTCCGTGAATAAAGAAAAATCTTAATCATAATTTGAGTAGTTTGAGATTAATGGATCAAAAAACATTATTAAGGACTTGCATTAGTTTCACGTATCCCTAAAAAACAATAAGAAAGAAAAAAACTACTACATAATTATATATATTAATGGAATGTATCCAGCATCTTACTAATTATTTTCAGGTATACCGCCTTTTACGTTTGGAATGATATTTTTCCCCGATCATTTCAATCATCATCGAGATTATAATATCCCGGATGTAATAATATTTAGGTCAGCAGGAACTTCTATCTCAATAATTCAAGAGCTAGAGCTGCCCAAATAATTCAATGACAAAAAACGGGAGTTCAGGAAGATACTAGCTAGTACCCAGGTCCAGTAGCTAGGTATCTGACTAAAAGTAATACACAGCCAAAGAAATACTGCCCTGTCCCCACCAATGGAGTGTCTTCTTGGACGAGGTTGATACAGCCAAAGCTGCTATAAGGATTATAGCCGTAATAAGTTACACGGTCTGTTGTCCTGGGGGAACATAAAAAATGACCGTTGCAAATTAATCAGCAAAACCTTCAAGAAATTATAAAATTCCTAGAAAATTAACAGTGCTATAAATTAATGTTCCTATCACCCTCTCTCTTTCATTCATTGCATTATATTTGGTGTGTGTATGCATTCCATTGAAGCTCTTCAAATCAGTGATCTCTATCAAGTTCAAGAAATTTACTCAACAAGACATTCTTCATATCAAGATCCCTCTTCTCTTGCAATATTATCATTTTATTCTCTGACCATTTAATGCTATTTTAATGGCTTCTCTTAGATATAGTTTCATGTTCTTCTATTCTTACTTCATTTTGACTTTATTTTTATTGCATGCACCATCGTTAGTTACAAGCTCCACGTACAGGTACAAGCAGCTCGAGTCATCATCAATCAATCGAACCGCCTCTATCAACTCTACCAAGTACCACCACAGGTGGGTTGGACCAGTAGGTCACCGTGTGATCACCGTGGATGTTAACGGGGGCGGCGAGTTCCGGTCGGTCCAAGCTGCTGTTGATGCTGTCCCAGAGAGCAATAGGAAAAATGTGACGATACTAATCAGCGAAGGACGTTACATGTAATATGTTCTGGCCTTAGTCACAAATTAAGATTTATTTAGGATTGTTGACAGTGGACTTCTCCTTTGAAGTTTTTTGCAGCAACCCTTGTTATTATCGTCACTCAAAATTTATGCGGTGGTTGTTATACATGGTGGTGCAGTGAGAAGGTGACTGTGCCAGCGAGCAAACCGTACATAACGTTTCAAGGAGAAGGAAGAGACGTGACAATCATCGAATGGCATGATAGAGCAAGCGATCGTGGTGCCAATGGTCAACAGCTGCGTACTTACAGGACTGCTTCTGTTTCTGTTTTTGCTAATTATTTCTCAGCTAGAAACATAAGCTTCAAGGTATAAATATAAAAGTTCATTAATGAGTCCGATCGAAACCTTCCCTTGAACTTCTTCCCAGCCTAGATATGTGGTCCACACTGCATGCAACCTTTGTATTTTCTTGAGAATCTTGGAAATTGTCAAAAAAAAAAAAAAAAAAGAGCACTCAAAGTTACAGTCCGTGGGATGGTGAATTTCATGTTATTTATCGTAGTAAATAATTTTAGGACTGTTTGGTATCTCTCCCATTTTTCATTTTATATGTCCTTTTTGGGTTTTGATTATCAATGAGAGTTTGTCAAACACCTTTTACTACTTGGCTTATATGTACTGCATTTACTTAAATATTACTGTGCCGGATGGCTTAAAATTGTGCATAATTGATTAATGGTCAACTTGTATATAGAACACAGCACCAGCACCAATGCCGGGAATGGAGGGATGGCAAGCTGCTGCTTTTCGCATATCTGGGGATAAGGCGTACTTTGCAGGCTGTGGATTCTATGGTGCACAAGATACTCTATGCGACGATGCAGGGAGGCATTACTTCAAGGAGTGTTACATTGAGGGCTCTATAGATTTTATTTTTGGGAATGGCCGCTCCATGTACAAAGTAAGAAACTTACACTTGTTATTAATTACACCATTCTGGCACTCTTATTACTGAATAATAAGAACTAGTCTTTGCTTAATTTCGACAAAATAATTGGTAGTATCATCTGCATGAGTGGCTGTCACTTGCTGGGCACATTTTGACATGGATATTCACGCTACATATTTTTTAAAAGAATAGGATATAGACCGTACATGATTAGATTTTTTAGGAAAAAGGATGTTGTATTTTTCTGTTTTTAGATCTGTTCCCTGTGCATGAAGTGGAAAAGCATGATTTGAAAGTGAGCTTTTTTCCCTTTTTTTTTTTTTTTTTTCTCCTTGACACCAAGTTGAGGAGTTTGTGACTGTGTAAGTCTATGTGTAAGAGTAATAATATTGTTGCCGAACATGCCAAAAGCAGAGCGTAGGAATAAGAACATGAAAGGCAGTGCTAGCTTTGACTTAAGCGCCCATAGATGAGTGGACTCGCAGCTGTCATCTATGAGGAGCAGCAATCTACTGATCCATAGTTAAACCAGGCAATGTTCTCCCTTATCAACATTTTATTTTTATCAGAAAACACTTCAAGAGCTCTGTGTGTGTGTCTGTGTGTTTTTTTCTTTTTGGAGAAATTCAAGATGCTCTCGCTCTCTTTGATATATTCAACTACTTTTACAATCATGTGTTAAATTTGAGGTGAGAATCTTTTTTTATCTTTTTTGAGACGATAGATCAGGGCCCATTTGTAGCTAAATTATTGTTCGTGATTGTGGGTATATATATTCTTTAGGTTCTGTAAAGTGCCAATCAATTGTATTAATTGTTCAAAAAAAAAAAAACTATAGTTATAAAGAATTTGGTCCGATTCAAAGTTGAAAAGGTTGTCTTTTGAAGTAGATAATTATGATAGGATATATACTCGCATTTCACTCTAAATTAAAAAGGAGATGTCAAGTTTAAATCTTTCATCCTCCTCCACAACTATATCGAATAAAAATGTAACTGTCACGGAAGAAAAACTGAAAAAAAAAATAAAAAAAAAAGGTTACTGACGAGATGAACTGTTGATTTGCGCAGGACTGTGAGCTGCACTCAATAGCGACCAGATTTGGATCGATTGCAGCTCAAGATAGAAACTCTCCGGACGAGAAAACGGGGTTTGCTTTCCTTAACTGCAAGGTGACAGGCACTGGACCACTGTACGTGGGTCGGGCCATGGGTCAGTACTCACGGATAGTCTATTCCTATACATATTTTGACAACGTGGTTGCACACGGTGGCTGGGATGATTGGGACCACGTCAGCAACAAGAATAAGTATCACCCAAACCTTTAATCAAACCTTTCCTTTTTCGGTTGTAGTGATACTCCTTATCCATACCATTAGCTTTCCCTATCATTCCCGTAACCTAAATATGATGCTCAATTTTGTGCACATCAATTTCTGTATGTATATGCATTAGATTAATAGAAACGACATCGTCAGTATCGATGGTTTGAAATAATTACCCCCTGAAACACACAATAATCAGTCAACAAAGCATCAAAAGCAAAGAGTCGCTATTCGCTAATATGATGCATTGCCTATTTGTAAAAAAAAAAAAAAACAGAGAGAGAGAGATTCAAAATGATTTTTTTTTTAATAGACTTGACAGGTTGATTGCATTGATGATTATATTTATCTGATAACGTCTTAATGTTGTGTTTCATAACAGGACCGTGTTCTTTGGGGTGTACAGATGCTGGGGGCCAGGAGCTGACGCAGTACGGGGTGTTTCATGGGCAAGAGACCTAGACTATGAATCTGCCCACAAGTTCCTTGCCAAGAGTTTTGTCAACGGAAGACATTGGATAGCCCCTTCTGATGCTTAGCCATGACATTGCTACAGCGATCCTTTCTTTCCTTTTTGCCCTCGACCCATTTTTTCATTTGTAAACATCAAATACCCTTGACCCGTTCTTTCATTTGTAAACATCAAAAATTCTTCTCTTGATTTCTTGCCCTTACAAAATTCATTCAAATTCTAGTCAAGACCTTGTTCAATTACTCGTTTGCTTGTAGAATTCCGACTCTTATTTTGCCGTTAATTTGTTAAACAAAGGTTTGTATCCTAACAAGTTTTTGGGGTTATGGAGGAATTTTCCCTGCCAACTGATTTGGATTACCTCAAAGCAAAGTCCCTATGACTACAAACTACAAACGGGCATAGAATGTGGCACTAAAACCTCTTTGTCCCCCTCCACCCTCCCCCTCCACTAGCAGAGATAACATGAATATTACACTCAAATATGACAGGAGCTAATACCTAAAAAGTCTCTTTGTCAAGAAGGGTGGATTGGAGTAAGGATGGACCGAGGAAAACAAGTGGAACGAGAAGGAGAGGAGAGGCTGGATGTCTTACCATTTATCTAGTTCTTTGGCTAACAAGAGATTGAAAAGAAAACAGTCAACCCATCCAAATCGAAAGCATTAAACATTATTAAGAAACGAAATGATAGAAACCAATTAGTTCAAATTGAAAGGATTGAAAATTATAAAGAAGGATCTGAGAGATCTTTTCTCGGGTCCCTATCGTTCTAACCAACAAAAGATACACTCAATCCCTCCCCTCTTATCCATCCCTCCCCCATTACCTCGGTACCTCCTGACTAACAGAGGGTAAGAAATCTTCTACGGTAACTATATTGTATTAATCAAACCCTAGACCGAAATCCAAAACTTCAACACTCCAGTCCATTTGCATTTACATAGGAAAGAGATGTTACTCTTTTAACATTCAAAGGCTCTTCAAAATCTGGAACCAAACTTTGAGGAAATGCTTATTTTTGTATAAACTAACACTCAATTTGCAACTTACCATTTTGGTAAGATCAGTTACATTCAAATGGACCTAATGTGGGTCAACTTAGCTCACATATTCAAAACATCCAAAGTCAATTTAGTCCCCTTTTCGAGCCCAACAGGAAACAAACCATTCCAATAACGAGGTTTTATAAAGACAGAAATTGAAATGAAAAACATGGTTTCAAAGACAGTGCCTTCCCCCGCGTAATCTTTGAACTGGAGTAAGAAAAGTGCAAGTAATACTGAGGATCGTTTGCAATATGGTTCACCAATAACATGACTGTTCCAAAGAATCACCAAGCAATTCATTTTTGAATTTGCTTCAAAAGCACTCTTTTCACAAATTTAGGTTCCAAGAAAAACACAAATCAGATACAACTTACAAGTTCAACATGAATCAAAAGCTCTAATAATTTAACACTTTTGATAGTCACAAAAATTAGAAAATACTTATAATTTAAGCAAGCTGTTTTTATTTTGCAGAAAAATATCAAGAGAAATACCTATCTGATAGAGGAAAACAGCAAGTAAAAACGAGAAACAAGAGAAATAAATGGCTTCACATTATGCAACAATTCCCCTGGGACTCGAGCATTTCTGGAGATCTGCAACACAAAGATGTTAGTCAGCTATCTGAAATAAATATAAGACAACAATTGCCAATGGCCATTATTTTTTCCAGATGAATATGGTCACTCTTCACTTCTTCTAATAGCAATACTTGTCAGATTCTCAACAGCAACAATACTTGCATATGTAGCATATATTAAGCATATGAAAAGGAAGAGTATCAAAAACTCTTTCAGACAAGCAAGTTAAGTGGGGTGACTTCTACTTTAGCCATCTGACCCAATTTTTTTCTTTAAAATTTGTGTCATTGGATCATCTTCCAGCAAAAAATAAAGAGTCTCGCTTCTTCACCTTATTCCCTTTTTTTAACAAGACAAGACTGAAACAAAATCCTATTCTAAGCCCATCCTTTGGAACCCAATCCAAGGTCCAGAGATGTTCCAAAAATGAAAAGCCAGAGATGGCTCAAGTAGAGATGCAATCATCCATGAATGCCAAAAATTGCATATGATAGAAAACTTACATTTGGCCAAGACTAGCAAAATCGATGTCAGGAGCAAGCTCCTGGACAATATCATTTGGTGGTTGGCCACATTCTTGCATTTTCTGCATGAGATCAAATATCTTGGTATAGTTACTAGGATCATTCTCGTAAACATCATTAAGATCTTTTATGAGTTCATATTGATGAGAGTATCGCTCATGGTCTTCTTTGGTTAGTCTGGCTTTGTGTTCTTCCAACCACTTCGGATATCTCTCTCCAATTTCCTTCATAGGTTCATGAAGAATCTCCTTGGATAAAAGTTGTTGCATCATGGTCTCCACAATAGATTCCATGTCCTGGAGAAGAAAATTAAAAGAAAACAAAATGTTATGGATCTTGAAAATATAAAAAATAAATAGCACACACTATCCACAGGAGAGAAAGCATGTAAGCACAAAACCAATGAACAGCATTGCAGTTTCAAATTCTCTCTGGCCCAAATATACAATTTTCATGGGGAAGACAAGGAGCATCAAAATTAACATGTAAAACAAGTCCTTGCCCAATCTCCTCCTCAGAGTAACATGTGAAAATCACTCAAAAAGTAAGCAGGCCATTGACAGGTGCTCTTGCTGCTGACACAATACTCCATAGATGGTATTGCAGCAAACATGGCACTGAATTCCAGTTCTGCCATGAACCTTGTCAAGAGAAATGAAAATGCCCTCAAGAATTTGCTTCACAATATGGATAAGGTAGAGAGAGGAATGGAAGCTGAATTCAATAATTATGCTCCACAGTTAAATAATATTTGGCTCAAATCTAATAATGTTAACAGCTCAAGATTACCATAAAATAACTTAAGTAACTAATCTTTTTATATCTCAATCAATTCCAAATCATAGATTGAGGCAATTAGCCTATTATATTGCAGAGCTGAACCAGCCCTGCGCTCAACTACCCCATATTCAATGTGCAACACAGAAGGGGCACATCACCAATTCAAAATCATCTGTATTGAGCACATCATAGGCATATGAGTGCTTTTTCCACTTGTTTATTGTATAGAAGATAGAAGTCGATATTCAGCAAGAAAATCCTAGATCGATAAGTATAGCAAAATAATACTGCAATTGCGAGATAAACATAACCTAATCCAAACTTGAATATCACACTACATGTAGCAAATCAGAGATGTGCAAGCATTTCTAGACCTATTTAAGATGTCTTTCATGAAAAAAATCAAGCTACATAAGAAATATGTACGTATTCAGTGACTTTCACTAAAAGGAGCCCAAGTGATGCGTATTTTGGAAAGCATCCAGAGAAGTGCTTAGGGTAACAATGCAAGTAACTACAAATTGTCACATGAATGCCTAGTGTTGCTCAACAGATTCCGCATTCTACAGAACTTGTGCATCCTCTGTAATTCTCACTTTTCGATAAGGTCAATAATGATATTTATAGGCTCTGCCAAAAAAGCATCACCCACACATGCAATGATAAAGCAAAGCTACCTCAAACTTGCCGCAAGTAAATTCCTACAAGCTTCTGAAAGAAACATCCTTTAATTCCTTCAATAGAACACAGCTTTCCTATTCACATACAACAACAGCTTTACAATTACAGAATCAAGCAAATGCACCCCAATCTGAGTGACGATCAACTATTTTCAATTATATCAAACCAGAAACCATTCAAACCAAACTATTTTAGAATTAAGGATGAAAAAATTATTGGCATCTAAATTTCCTAAACGATCTGAAAATATAACTATCATTAAGCAAATGATTAAATTGTAAACCCCATGACCCAAAACTTAAGACAGAACGCACTAAATCAATCTTCAATTACCAAACACAATCGCACCAATATCCAACCCAAAACTCAAAAGCAAAGTAAAAACTATCCTCCTGACAGGAACAATGAAATAAGCTCGTGCCATCCAACCATCAAAAAGCCTGCCTCAGTTTTAACTACCCTAAATCTCAACAATAACTCGTAAACCACAGAAGAACTACAATTGAAAGCAAACAAACCAATTTATGAAACAACGAGGAAAGGAAGAAAAAGGTAAAATGATATACCTGAGAGCCAGCAAGCTCCTCAAACTGCTTAACCCAATCATCCATAAATGCATCCTTGGAATCATCAGGTTTAGAGGTAGCTGTGACAGACTCCAATCCTTTAACAGCCTCCCTAGTCTGTTCTCTAAGCTTATCAAGAGCCTCCTCGACATGGGATTCTTTAGAAACCTTTTTTTCCCTTTATTCTTGCTTTTTAAGTCAGGCAATCCCATTCCTAACCCTTGAATCCCAGTTGGCAATGAAGGAAGAGAAGACTCTTTCTCTTTCTGCTTGCTGTTCTCTTCATCACTATCTCCACTTCTATAAATTAAGCCATAATTCAAAAACCACAGTTATCTATTACCAAAACAAATTAAAAAAAAAAATTGTTAAGAGACAGACCTTTGAGAAGCAGGAGCAAGTTTGAGAGTCTGGAGATCATCAAGAGCACCTATAAAGATTTAAATATAAATTTTAATTAGATTTTATAGCGAAAATGAAGATATGGGTTTTACAGGAAGAGAGATTACTGTCAAGGAGTTGTTCTAAGTCGTCGTTTTGGTCCACCATGATTGACTAATAATCTCTGCCTCCCTCTCGGTGTCTGTTAGTCGAGATACTAAACTTTCTTCTTCCTTTTTCGTGTCTTCAAGCGAGTTTTGCTTGAGACTCGAGAGATAGGGAAGGGATTTTCTTCTCTTCTCTATTTGAAAGACTGGAAGATATATATGGTGACGTTTTTCCGCACTGTTTGAGGGGAAGGGAGGGGTGAGAGGGTAGGGAGGAGCTGTGGAGGGGCGACCGATTCACCCACCAGATCCAATGGATTCTTACCTCTTCAGTTGGTTTTTGACTATTTTCTCTGGCGAGTTGTGACAACAAGACTCCATCTACTGAAGGATCTTTTTCTGATTTTCTTTTTTTTTTTTTTTTGCTTTTATCTTTTCTTGATTTCACTAATACTCTTTCCATTTCCATTTTTTGATCCCCTAAACTAAATATCTCCGTCTAAAACTTGTGGAAAATGAATTACTGTTTTCTTTATATATATATTCGGGAAATAGTTATAGAATAAAGTAAACTTGCCTTTACTTATGGAAGTTGTTTTAAGCTCGAGTCATAAATAATAAATTACTCATCGTAAGTTATTTTCAATTTAAATTCAAAATATATTGGTAAGAATATAAAAAGAAATTACTTTAAGTAATTTTGTGAATTTTGAGAGAAGCCAAACTTTTTGATGAACTTTTAAAAATACAGAATAGAATAATTTCTATTGATAAGTAAAATTCATGCTATGAGATTTATGTATGCTTTTCCATTTGACAATCAGATTGCTCGGATGAAGGCATTTTTGTTTATATTGTGTTTATAGAGCAATATCGTATATCCCTCTCCATAAAATAAAATAAAAAATCCCTATTTTTATTTATCTAGTTAGAGGTGATAGTTGTATATATGATCTAAATTCATATGTTTAAACATGATTATGAATTAAGTATTTTTTTACTCAAAATCAAAACTCATTCAAATAAAAAATAAGGATAATTAGCAGAAAAACCTTATATCTAAAAAACCCACAAATTTATTTTTAGATCTCCTAAACCTAAAATAATATTTTTCTTACTAAAAACACCCAATAATTAAAACTATTGTTAACTATTGGTTGTTTTGGTAAGAAAAAATATTATTTTGGACTTGTAAGATTTAAAAATATTATTTTGTGTTTAGGAGATTTAAAAATAAAATAGTGAATTTTTTAGATAGAAGATTTTTTTAAATGTATTTTGGTAATTATCCCTAGTGTAAGTGAAATCATTATCTTTCAAGATATGCATTTGTATTATGGATGATCATGTTTTATTTAATTAATACATCAAAATATGTTATACATTCATCTTGTAATTTAATTTAATTATTTAATAAAAAATGTTTGAGTTTTGATTAATTAAAAACTAGTATTACCGATGATACTTTTTTTTCTATCAATATATTAGGATTTAAGAAATCACTAATGTTCATAATCATAAATATTCTTATTTTTCTTATTTGTATGATAATCTTTTAATTAAATTACAAGAAAATAACAAGAATCTCGTTTCATCAATATTAATTAGCTAAATTACATCGATTACCATAGTTACTAGATAGTAAAATTAATCTCGTAATTAATAAAACAAACAATCGATAAACTCTAATATAAGGAATTTTTTAGTATAATAAAAAAAAATAGTCGAATGTTAGTGTTTAAAAATTTTCTATCTAAAAAATCCATCAATTTATTTTTTAAACCTCTCAAACCTGAAAATAAAAAAATTATCTTATCTAAAGACCCAATAGTTAAGTTAACTATTTGGTCTTTTAGTAAGAAAAATATTATTTTAGGTTTGAGAGATTTAAACATAAATTAGTGGATTACTTGGATATAAGGTTTTTTTTAAATGGTTTTTCTGGTAATTATCGCTAAAAAATATCCTAGATTTCTTGGGTTAAGACAACTTAATCATTAAGTAACTAACGAGTCGATCATTATTTGAGATTTAAAAATATATATGAATGAATGAAAAGTAAAGGAAAGAAAGTAACATAAATAGAAAGAAAATGGATGAAAGAAGATATTTTTTTCTCTTTATATTTGAAAGAAAAAAAAACACTATGAACAAAGAATATTTAAAAATTATATATCTGGAGAAGGAAAGAAAAGGAAAATATGAAAATTATTACCTTTCCTCGATAGGTAAGATTTTCAATAATGATTAAGAATTTAAAATTAAATTCAAAATTAAGATTGAAGAAATAATTATTTGAGTCAAAATCTCTCCTCATTTTTACATTAACTTGGAGAGACTGGTTTTTGTAGGCTAAAGAGACAAGTTTTCCATTTATTTTCATTTTATCCATTTTTCTGTTATGTCTCCAAAAAAAATGAAAATAACTCTTTCCGTTCCTCCCACTTTCTTTCTTCTCAAATTTTCCTCTCTCAAATAATTTGTAAAATTGTAAATAATAATATGTCTAAAGGAGCAATTTTCTAGTTAAATGTTGTTGAAATATCATTTTTGAATCCTTCAAATATATTTGAGAATAAATAAACATTTTTTTTTATGAATTTTATTTATTTATTTATTTTGTTACAACAAATTTTTGTTTTTGTTTGATGCAATGGCAGGACTCCGTGATTGGTTTTCTACAAAATAATTATCTTAATGTAGTGGCTTTATTTATTTATTTTCATTAATACATGTCTGCATATATGTGAACGTGTAAATTATAATTTTATAAGGTCTTCGTAATATAAACAAAGGGAATTACTAGAAAAAATCTTAGTACTGTACTTTCTAATTTACATTCAACTAAGATCCATAAATAGTTATCATAATGAATTTCTTTTGATATAGTTGAAGGAATGGCGAAACCAAAGTGCCTAATAACGTTTTGTGTACAAACTTATCCATGTAAATGCACTACATAATTATTATTGAATTCTCATTGTTTGGAAAAAAAAAAAAAAAAAAAAAAAAACTTCTAAAACCAAAATGTACCCGAACTCATCCAAATCGGGTTAGTATATCGATGGATAGGATTGTAAATGGATTGAATTCGAATCTCATTATTGTAAATCTGGATTCGATTTGTTTAGATTAGATCGAATATTATGAATTTGGATGCGGTTTTAAAAATGAAAAATTGAATCCAACTTTTAAAAGACTTGGATTAAATTCGAAACTCCATCGGATTTGTTATTTGATTTTTGTAAAAAATTTCTAATTATTACTTTTTATATATTACTTGAATATAAAATATATTTCAATCATTACATATATAATAAAATATATTAAGATAACATTTGATTTAATAATTTTGTAAAAAATTTAAAATATCACACAAGTCAAAAATACAAAATGAAACCATATTAATAAAAAATTATCTAGAACTAGGTAGAAAGTATGATTAAAAAAATAATAAATATTGTTTCTTTTTGGCTCACACAACAACAAAATTAGAGTGATAAAAAATATAATATCATGTTTTGAAAAAATATATAAGTCAATTTATAATTTTTTTTCATAAAATTAAATTTAAAAAATGATAAGAAACATATATATGAATTTTTGAAAATACAATCCTTTCCGTTGAAGGTAATGCGTTATTTGAACTTTATAACAAATAAAATCTAAATTCAAACTAGTTTTCTACGTATAGGTTTTTTTTCATATTTAAATTTTTACTATTTAAAAAAATATTATATTCATTATAAAAATATTAAAAAATTTCAGATAAGATTATTATCGAATCGAATTTATTTAATGAACATATTAATGAATTCCTATCATAATCAAATTTGAATAAAAATATTTATCGATCTATTTAATTAAATAAATTCGGATCAAAATCCAATCATTTCCAGCCACTTACCGATTTAACTCTCCCTTTCCCTTTCGGTGGCTCGAACATTTAGTGGAAAGCTTAGAGAAAGATGACTGCAACAACAACGATAACGACATCAATCCAGTGAAAATAATAATGTCACCCTTCGACTTAAAATATTAAAAACTGTTGATTTGATACAACTTGAAAGATTTAATCCCCCTGTTTAGCCAAAAGGAGCCCTCCGTGTTCGTCTATACCAATAATTCAACTTCAGAAAGCATACATCGGAATACAATTGAACAGAACAAACAAACGCTTTATTTTTCTTCGTATTTTTTTCTTTCTTCTTGGAAAATGAGTACACTATGTATCCCCTTGAAAAGACCTCTGAGGGGCTTTCTGCTACCTACTTCAATGGACATTTCCTCTTCCCAACAAATGAACAAATGAACTAACTGTACAATGGTGCCAATGCAGGCTTTCTTTGATTTATGGTTAAAAAAACCAGCTCCTCAAACCTCTGATGGTGGCAACTCCTGTGACATTCAAACAAAATCAAGGCTTAAGATTATAGTAATTCATTCGCCATCTGCATTTGAACATACATTTAGGAGGGGGAATGGATTGTGGAAAATTTTCAAGAAAACATGTTTTGCTTCTCCATGACCCGATTCTGATACACCGCCACCATGGGTCTTCCAAGATGTGCTGGATGGTGCCCATCCAAGTATTGCATCAACCAAGGGAAGCAAAACTTGATATGTACATCTCCATTTTGCTAAAATTAAAGCTCCACCTCATGAAGGTCATCTCCAAAACTGCCACTACTTGGCATTCGCATCATGGAATTGTCGCTAGGCATTAATGATGGAGGGGGCATGCCCAATGCCTCCCCTGGCGATTTGGATTCCACCACCTTAGGAGGACTAAATGAATCACTGAAGCTCCCACTCCATGATGCTGTTCGTCGAGAGTGTGATGAAACAGGGTCATTGCCATTTATCATGCCCCCTTTCTTGTAATGTTATCCATGCTTGGAAACCTTTGCATAGTCATTGCTGACGAAGATGTTGAAGGATGCGAATAGTCATTCTCATTCATATTGGATGTAGAAGGGTTTTCAGTAGATGCAGTGTCTTCTTGCATGTTTTCTGCTATAGCTTCCATAGAATATTCAAGTGACGGTGCAGGTGCAGGAACAAAAAACTTTGCATTTGCAGCAACAGCAGGTTTGACAGATGGAACAGATGGGGACTGGAACAGGTTTGTTGGTTTTCCACCCCCTTGGTTAAAGGTATCAACATACCTGTCAAACACCCATGAAGATTTTATTGAGATTAGTTTGTATTCATTAAATCACTGAAAAAAAATAAAGGAGCAAAAGTCATTAACCTGGATAAATAAATCTTCTTCAAAGCTTATTAGTCTCAATTTAGCCACACATATCAAATGGATAACAAGATAAATTAGGGTTTAGGAACTCAAATGTACATTCAAGTTCCAACACATGCAAAGGCTGGGCTCAAACTTTCGAAAAGTGAGCTAGTGATGCCACATTCAAACCATGTTTGTCCATTCAGAGGAAAATAAAACCTCGCACTTGGTTGAATTTTCTGATAACAACAATCAGTAGCTCCTTGAAGTTTTCATATCAACAAAATTCACCACTGATGGGTTACTGATGTCCAAACCAGAAGCAAGGTGTTTTAGGAGAAGAAACTTAGGGTGTGTTGGGTGAGCAAATGGAACTGGATGAGACAGGGCAAGGCTGTTAAATGGATGGGGACAGAAATCTGGCTATGGTACAGTACGAAAACTGCCCATGTGCACACTCAACACCAGTACACTAGAAGTTGTCCTGTCCTGTCCTGCCCAATCCAATTCCATGTACCAAACACTGCCTTTAGGTCATTCCATTAGGACATGAAACTGAAAGAGTTGATCCTGACGGATGATGTAAATGATTTAAAAAATGGTTCAACAATTTGCAGAATTAGTCATATTTCTGGCCATTCCAAAACAATGTAATAGAACCTTCATGAATTTTTTCCCTTATCCATTCTCCCCCACACACAATAGACTCTTAGTATAATAAAACTTACATTTTATGTTCAACCTTTACTTTATCTGTTAATCATCAATTCTTTTTGACAACTATTCTTACTTTCAGGATATTCATTTTGCGTAGAAAAGAAAAACAAAAGAAATTTAAATTACCTTGCTCGTACTCCCATGCGCCCACGAGCTGAGAACTGATTTGAACTGGTTGGAATAGGTGGAATCCCTGAAGTACGGTCCATTGGAGTGGGACTCTTAAACACTGGGCTCCCTTCGGTCGGAGACACATCACTCTTCAATGCAGATTTCAAGTTGTAGTCAGACCCTCCATTCTGGAAGCCTAGAGTTGTTGGAGGGGGGCCAAGGCTGGTTCTTCAGCTGGGGGTTCAGCACCTTCCTCCACCCATCTCTTGAGCTTTTCATCATAATAAAATTTGTTCTTGTCACCCAATTTAGCCTTCAGTCACAATGCAAATGATAGTTAACAAGAGTAACAAGAGAGCATTGATAGTTTCTCCCTGAAAAAGTCAACAGAAATCACATATGAACATCAATCTACCTGTTTATCCGAGCGAGGCCTTAAGACTAGCCCCACAGTCTTCTGCAAAAGCTGTGATCCAAAACCAAAACGACCAAACCGAGATGACCCCGCTGAACCTGATGCCTTGCTTTGTGCACTGGATGAAGTTCCTTCTGTAGATGAATCAACCTGATCCTCCCACAAGCCAATAAGGAGATGCGATATAATTAACATGAACATCAAGCAGTTAAGTATAGCATTTCAACTTGCAGACGATAACAAACCTGTCTTGGACTTCTACCAAAGTCTGGCTCTGAAACACTTCTGTTATGCATCATCATTCTATTGCCATCAGCTGCCCATTCACTTATGGGCTCCATCGAGGCAGAAGGTATTAGCGATGACATGGCCATTGTTGACTGACTACCTGATACTCTGGGAGCCAACAGTTGGTGATGGCTATCTTGCACACTTCCGTGTGATGCTGATGGTGCAGGTGGTGGAAGGCCCCCAACCACACGATGTGCAGTGCTATCAAAAAGTTGAGCAACTTGCCAACTAACTTTGCTGGAGCCAAATTTGTTGTGTATCCACCCTGAAAATAGAATATTTAATAATGGTCAGAAAACATAAAGCAAAAGAAAAAGAAAGGAAAAAAGTTAGAGTTCACGATAAATTATTACCTGCTGATGGGCTCTAATCCTTTCCTCAAGGGACAATACTAATTGCTTCCATGTTTCTACTTCAGGAGCACGACCGGTTTTTAGGGATTTTAAAACAGCTTGACAATACCTAAATAAACTCACCAGATTAAGACAACTTAAGGAAAAATTACATAAAGCACCTACTTAAAACTTGACATCCACTTACTTCAGTGAATCGGAGACTTTGCCCACTTCAGCCAGCATGTATGCATATATGAGCTTATATGGCTGAAATGGTAGCAGGATAAACTGAGAGTTACCAAGCACCTTAGAGTATTCATACAACTCGGTTCTCTGTCCATACACCCCATTAAATCAGTCAAGTAAGATTCCATTGAAAGACGGTCCAAGTGTGAAATCATATGAGAGAGAAAGGTTGAGTTTGAAACCAAAATAAACACACCAAAATTTCACAATTCTTGATTTTCCTCATAAAGATTGGATTCGGATCAATGATTCATATAATTAACCAAAACCAATTACCCAACCTAGAACCCAGAATAAGTTGTTCATTTGCATTAGAAGAAACCATCCCATAATGAGCTACCATAAACAAATCGCAAGTAAAATGTGTGCAAGAGTTGAACAAAATAACAGAGCACCTGAATAGCCTCTGGACTGGCATATGTTCGGGGATGCTTCCAGTGATCTGCTCCAATTAAACATAGTCTTGCAGTGTCTGAATATGACTCAAAATTTGCTTCTGCTATTAAATAGCAGATGTGTGCAGCAGTAATCTGTGTAATCACTCACATGTAAGGTTCAGGATATAGGGTTTTCAAAATAAGCCACCAAAAAACAGACCAAAGAAAAAAGCTACCTCACTTCTATCCTTCCATAGGCAATCTCCAAGATGTATGAGCACAAGCTCATCATCTTTTGTTCTGTTTGCAGTTATTACGGCCAAATTCTCTTCCCAATCATCAAGCATTCCATTTGTCCCAAACTGTAGATGATAGAAAAGCATAGAGAGACAAAATTATACACCAATAAAACTGGTTAGAAATTTCAGTTTTTGAAAGGAAAAAAAAGACTTATAGAGGCAAAGGTAAATTACAAATAAATTTTTTAAAATTTGTAAAGATGGCAATGACATGACATCTATATCAAAGCCTATAAGCATTCCATATCCTAATACACAAGACTGAGGAGAAAGCTTAGTTATTCTATAACTTGAGAGCACGCAATATGGCCATTACATGGAAACAAACACAGTTGGTACAGCAGGTCAGCAGTGTTACCAACATTATCCAAAACACGATTCTCTTCTCTTTGGCTTCATTCTGTAAAAGATCTCCTTCACTACAAAACATTCTCTCTCAAGCTTTTTTATCCAAAAACTTTTTTAACTAAGAGAATCCGCAACACAGCACAGGCATTCAATCCTTAATATAGTAGGACTATTCATGCATCAATATCTCACCTGCACAGGTTGTTGAGGCGTACTCAAATCACCAGGAAAGCCACCGTGTACAGCAGCATCTGTGGAAAATACCTCAGCAGGTTGCCCCGCTATTAGCAAGCATAATGTCCGCAAAGGAGATCCAGCTACCAGCTGGCGAAGTGCCATTAACTTGACAGTATCAACATAGTACTGTATCACGCCAGCCCCAAAAAAGCACAAACAGAGAGAGAGATTTTGGGGGGGGGGGTTGGGGGTGCAGGAGGGGGAGAGAGAGGTGAGTAAATATCTGACAATCTTCCTTGTACATGAAATTATCTGGATAAAATCAAAGACAGTAACAGACAAAAAACCTGATCACCAAGCTGTGACGCAAGAACAAGTGCAGGTCCCCACAACTGACCCTCTTGTGCAGATTGTAATGCCTCTTTTTTCTACCAGAAACCAGAAGATGTTGTACCTCAGAAGCAGTTGCCTAGAACGTACATCAGAATCTTTTACAATATTGATAAAAATGCCCATATTATAGTGAAAAATATCAAAGTAGTTTATGAGATACCCTAATTTGTCCTTCAGATGGAATAATCTGCAAGCAGTGGTGAAGTGCGCCATACTCACTGAATTGCGTGCCATTCCTCTTGGCAGATGCAAAAAGTTTTGCAACTGCTGATTCTGGAGCATCACTCTCCTACAAAAGTACAAATGATATTCAAAATGCCAGGTTAATCATTTCTAAATGTACCTCTTCAGTTATGATTGAAACAAAGAAAATTAAGAACACATTTTAGCATCATATACATAACATTGTAAGGTGATGGTATGAAACTTAATTATGTAAAAAAATATATATATATATATATTAGGAACTACATCAAGAGAAGAAAAATAGCACACAACAAGCAATAACTAGATTATATTGATATCAAATGCAGGTAGCCAATGTGCTTTTGTAAGTAGGCCAGACCACCTACTCTTTTCTAGTTTAGATTCTAGATACCCTATGCAGCATGCCCTTTCACTCATATCCAGCCAAATCTCTCTCAAATAAGCACAGTAAATTAACTCCCAATGTGCTTTCATAAGTGAGCCAGACCACCTACTCTTTTCTAGTTTAGATATTAGATACCCCATGCGCCCTTGCACTCATGTCCCGCCAAATCTCCCTCAAAAAAGCACAGTCAATTTAACTCCCGATGTGCTCTCATAAATTGGCCTGACCACCTACTCTTTTTCTAGTTTAGATACTAGATACCCATGCAGCATGCCCTTTCACTCTTGAACAGCCAAATCTCTCTCAAATAAGCACAGTCAATTAACTCCCAACAGGCTAGAAACAGTCTTCCATTTTGAGTCTTTTTTTGAGAAACATCACACAAGTTGAGCAGGAAAGTAGGGAATCTAAGTGGAGATAGTCTTTATTTCCAGCTCTTTGGTTGGAAAAAGGAGAGGCATTTCATAGCCTAATGCTTCCAAATACTAACCTTTCAAACTAAAGATATATTGCAAAATGTGTTTCTTTCGAACTCATTGCAGAACAAACAATGAAGGTATACAAGCACTTATGCCAAATTACAAAATAGGGCATGCAACTTGCTTTGTTAGAAGGATAGAATTGGCTATTATAAACCTGAATGGGTGGCATAGAGCATAAATTGGCAAGTCACATGAAATGAATTGATTAACATGCGATGCAAATATCGTAATATCTAGTTCCTATTTCAGAAGGACTTCCCTGAGTGCAAAATAAAGATGCAGTGCGATTTAACTACAACAAAGATTATTGAAAAAGAAATTTGTAATTTACCTTCAGTAAATTGTCAGTGCCAAAAGGCGATCGAAGTTTTCCATAATGTTGACAGGCTATTTTAAGCAAAGAGAGAAGCAACCTCAATGCTTCACCTTTTTTATGATTCACAACAGACGATTCACAGTGTGCAATTCTCTCATCAATCCACTTATTCAATTCTTTATTTCCAACACTGCCACCCACCAATGGACCTGGAAAAGACTGTTGGCAGAGCGCATGAAAATAACTGCAAGTCACCCCTCCAACACTTGAAGCATCATCACTACTTCCTGACATAACTTCCATCAAATTCATAACAGAGATTGAGCTTCCTACATGATCCTTCACATGAAATAAACACCCATTGTTAGCCCATGAACAATATGAGCATTCTAAAAATTTAAAGAAAATGAGGTTCTTTTAATTTATGAGAAAACTAACAAATTCTCAAGGAATTTTACTTCTCGATTTCACAAAGACTTTTGGCTACCAAATTGATCAGTTAAAAGAAAAATGCATGATGTGATGCAAAAGATAATGAGAAAAAAACTAGGAAAGAGAGTATTTCAGAGCCTCACCTGGCTGCCAAAGGATGTGCTATTCAGAGAATTGACATCTTTCATCACTATGAGCTTCCCACCAAATCCAAAAGTAACCAATGCATGTGGAGGACGCCCAGCAGATGATCTCCCTGTGTCGGGTGCATAAGAAAACTGCTGGTTGCTCTGAAATGATTGATGGGTGGCACTTACTTGTTTCTGACTGCTATAGTAATCATTTGATAAGTTTGCTTGTTCATTCTGTTTTACAGTTCCCTGATTATACTGCTGACTGAAGTTCCCACTTACAAAACTTTGTGACCCAAGAAACCCATTAGCCTCGGCATAACCTTGACTTGCTTTGTCATATGATGGAACTGTCCCCAAAGAATTAATAGCTTTCTGCTGATCCACGTGGTTATTCATGGAAACATTAGAACCATATAAATTCTCTAATTGCTGGTTTCCACCAAAATTCGAAATAGTATCTTTCTTAGCAGCAGTCTGAGGTTGCCACATATTCAAATCCTGCTGATTGTAGCTACCATAAGACTCACCCCAGCTGCCATGTTGGCCTTGGCTATTATAGCCTTGTGAACCAAGCTTGTCAACCAGCCTGTACTCACTGCTACTACTATTTTCAGAATATGGGCCACCAAAAGCAAATCCATTTTGACTCTGCTGATCATTAGTTTGAACAATTGTTGATTGTGCAGTTGATGTGTAACTTTCCAGTGAGCGCCATTCTCCCAGCATTGTGTCGTAATACCAGCCAGGATATTGTGGGTCAAAAAACATATGTTCAGGGTAACCATTATTATTCTCTTGGGAAGCCTGATTCCAGCTAGACACACTCTCAGTTGTACTAGTCTCAGCCACAGTTCCCACCACAGACTGAGAAGTCTTCTGCAAATAGTTAACCTCTGTTTTCGAAGCCGAAGCCCATTCACCCCCAGAAGCACCATCAACACTCCCTTGCACATTTGCTGTAGCATCAAAAGCATCCACTTGAAGCCACTGCCCAGTGTTTGCATCATACCTCCATCCAGGATACATGTTTTCCCAATACTGACTGCTATTCAAATCCTGCTCATTCACACTCTCCGTCACTGATCCTCCATAAACCTGTGCACCGTCTTGATATTGCTCTAGACTGGCAGAATTATTCAACCCTCCACCAGCCCTATTCTCTACAATACTAACACTTTGCACTATATTAGCAGGAAAATCCTCTGAACCGCCTCCAAAATCATTAAAAAAATCAGAGGAAGAACCAAACCCATGATTCCCATTCTGCTGAGAATCTGCATAAAACGAACCCCACCCCACTTCCTTAACCCCTGATTTCAGGGATCCACTGCTTTGACTAACTACAGTTTCGGCCACAACCTCTGATCCAATCCCATCATTATTGGACTCAATCACCCCATCAGACAACCCCAGCGAATTAAATGACTCCAATGCATTACTCTCTTCCGCCTTCACACCATCCAATCCTACACCATCATCCACCGAATCAATTTCACTCTTTCCTTCGAATCCAACTTTTGTATCCTCAGTACTGAGATTGGCAAAGGCTTTCGCCTCATCAGAATCACTTCCCTCGGTGAACTTAGGGCCCGAATCCAAATTAGTGGGCCCAAAATCATCATCAACTAACTTATCAAAGAAATCCTCATCCGTCTGATCCTCCATCGCATTAAATGGAAGATTCGTAGCCATCTAAAAAACTGCTGATCTAACCCTAAAGATCTTTAAAAAAAAAAAAAATCACGACCAAGTTAACCCTCCAGCTTCCCCTAATTTACACCTAAAATTCGAGCTGTGATGTAATCAAAACCTCGAGATCCAAAAACTCAAACGATCTAAAAGGCCAAAATTAGAGAGATCCAGAATTTAAGAGATCTCTCTGTAATTAGAGAAGCATAAATTAAGATCAAAACATACAGAAATAAACAATTTTGGAATTTGGGGATTGAATTGAACGCATTGGATACAACAGAAGGAAGAAGGAGAAATGTTGACTTACAGATCGGATTAAGAATTTGAAGAGAGAATCGAGAGCAAGCGAGAAAGGGAGCGAGAGAGAGAGCGTTCGATTTGGCACCAACTACCCCAGAAGAGGAGCTTCGTTTTTGTTTTGTTTGGTCATTTGTATTAATTTGTTTTTATTTATTTTTTGTTTTATTTTATTTGCGAAAAAGAAAATTGTTATCGTAAGTGGGGTTGTGCAAAGTTATTAATATTTTCCCATTGCGTCCGGTATGTCCGAGATTTTTCGCTTTAGTTGAAAAAGGAACAAATATTTGGATTCCATACCATTTAAAATCTCATTACATACGGTTCGAAATGTGTCGAAACGGATAAAAATACTCCATGCCAGAGGCGGAACGACACCAAGGCTAGGGGGCCACGGCAGCCCAATGTTTGAAAAAGTTTTCTAGTCAACTATAAGATTTTATATTCTGTCGTTTTATAGAAAATATGCATTTTTCCCTGTCCGCCAAATATTATCTATTTTCTATAATCATTATTTATTTATTTTATTTGCCAATGCATCGTGGTATATTTTTCATTTTGGCACCTCATGCCTAAAATCCTAGTTTTGTCCTTGCTCGGCCAGTTCAACTAATTAAAAAGTGATTTTTTTTATCATAATTTTTCATTCATTCACTCACAACAAGATTCATAACATTACTATTTGTTATCCAACTTAATTGTTTATTATTTTTATTAGATCTCATTAGCTGATACTTATGAAAATTTTAGTCTTTATTTGAATATCATCGCTTTCTTTCCTTTTTAAGAAATTCTGAATATATATGTGTGTATGTGTTCAAGATTATGATACGTATTCTCTTACTCTACTTATATATTGTCCTAATGAAACTTTATGATAAACGAAACAACTCCTTACCAACTATTAAAAGATCTCATAAATGGATAAAATCCAAACGATCGACATGAATGAATAGCTTAAACAAATAAGAAATCAATCTTCAATTTGTTAAACAAAAGACATACATTTAATGAAAGTATGAATTCTTAGAATGTTTCTATTACATCATCATCAAATATGATTGTACATGCGCCACTAATCAATGACATTCGTTTAAAGAAATCCCAAACTTTCAAGTGAATGCTAGGAGTTGTTTAAGACAAGAGAAGAGATCACTCTATTCTCCACTCCATATAAATTGATCACATCTCTACTTATATAAAAGTTAACACACAAAGTGTTATATATTCCGTCTTTTAGGCTCAAAAAATAAAAATAATATTACATATTTTCTCCTACTAACGAGATAAATAAAATTAAGTATATTTAGATTAAAGACTTCTCTCCGTATACTCATTTAGTCATCGAAGGATTAAATACTAGAGAATGACTTGTTTTGTAGGCACTCTTTATTGATTCAACATACAACTAGTTACATCAACCACACAATTAGTTGAATTAGAAGTCATACAACCATCATTATTAATATGAGAATGAGATCTCATTAATGGCATTGTCTATGAGAATTTGAGTAAAATGCTAATCTCAAACTACTTTATCTCTTTATCTTCGAAGCTTCTTCCGTGATTGACAACCAACAAACTCCAATGTATTTGGCATTCGATTTTTCTAGGCCTAATGCTTCACCAATCGATGTCTTTCAACTACAACGATGTTTCAAATTGCTAACAAAGACGTACATATCAACTCAAGAGAAAATAAAGTCTTTAATCACTCCATCAAATACAACAAGTACTTTTCCCTACACCACCTCTAAAGGTTGTCTCCCCATAAATATCCATACGCTTACCAAAATAGACCGAACAACACCGGATCGAAGAAGAAACGACCATGTACGAGTGATAGGAAAACTAAGAGTAGGGAGTATCGTTGTTTCTTAGAATTTTTAAAAAATCACTCTTATCACCCGATAAATAACTAGTTAGTCGGGACTTCCAAGAGGAGAGGGATGGTAAAACCAAATATCGCCACGATGTTAGAAACAAGAATAACACTATCAAGAATCGATGCGAGAATCAATATAAGGACAATTCCTCCTCCTTCTAAACCTTATCGGTGAGCTTCGAACTTAAATACCAATAGGTAGATAAAAGACTTGTAATCATCACTCGGTATGAATCGGACCATTATAGCCACGAAGCTTTAAGCCTTTTCATTCGCTCCTCACATCTTGAATGCTAAACTTCCAAAGGATCTCTTCATTGGAATGATGAATATAGACATGTATGATAACACAAAAAAAACCCCTAAAAAAACATGTAAAATGTCTAGAAAAACCTCGAATTGGTCATAAAGATCTTAAACACCATATGCAAAGTGTTTCCTAGCACTTTTGGAGGATGGTGAGAAAGTGGTATAACAATATAGACTCTAAATCAGTACTATAGTTTCAAAGACTTGTGCTCCAAGTTAGTGGCTTACTTATCCACCGGTATTCTTATTTAAATAAACTTAAGGGATTTATTTATAGTCTCTTATAAAGGAAAAAAGAGCATTTGAGCCTACCACTCTCCTTTCTATAAGGAAATACTAAGGGTTGATAGTTTGTTGGAACCTATAGTAACTAAAGCCTTCGTATCGGGGGTTAGTGATGTCGACCTATAGAAGAAAATTTGCATTTAAGAAAATAGTGGAAAGCCATATCCGAATAAAGGAAGCAATAGCCACTGATAGGCTTACTAATGTTTTGAGAAGCCAACAAGGAGATCAAAAATGAAAAGGTCCCTACCAACTCGCTTAAAAAAAAGAAATTCTAAAAGGCCCATACACGATCATTTTAAGTGGAGTTATTTTTTATTAGATGCACGTTGAATGCACCAAATTTAATTTATTTATTTTTATCGATGTTTGTAGCAATGGCAAGTTTAGGTCAAACCTTAGAGATCTGGATAATCAATTTAGTTTATATAAATAAAGAGGGGTTTTGTTATTTATAAGCCAAATTTATAAAGAAAACAAATATAAAATAAAAAAATTAAATTAGGAAAACTTTAATTCAAGGAGAAATTCAAACATTCAATTTGTAAATTGATCATCAACTCCTAAATTACTACTTTTTTATTGAATACTTAGCATAGATTTACCTAAACGCTAAAATAAACCTAAATCTTTCCTGAATTTATTAACTCAAAATTTTACATCCGAATTAAATTCTTATTATTGATTAATTTTTGTATTGATACAATCCTAATTTAATCAATAATAGCATTAAGAATTAGAAAGATAGTTGAGATTGAAAAATAATTTTAGGGCGCCTAAGTCATTTAATTCATTGTGTTATTTCTCTTATGTAATTAAACTTAATTTGCTACTTGATATAACTTTTCTTAATAAATACGGATTAAGAGAGCTTAGTTAGCAATCGATCACATAATTAATCAATTAATAGGGGTCTTAGACACTTACCCATATAATCATAATTAATTAAATTCAAAGATCAATTATTTAACTTTAGAGAAATAAAAGATACTCAAATCATGAAAAATAGTTTAAAGATCAAACTCGTATCCCACAATCTGTTGCAAATTGAAGTTGAAATTTCTTGAACTAAATTGATGAAATTAGCTAGAAATTGTTTAATGCATAAAACTATAAATATAAAAGAAAAGATGTAAAGTAAAATTTGCTTCTAATGTCCTACCCTAGATGCTATTTATGCATGTAAAGAGATAAATACAACGAGTTAACAAAAGTCATATTCTAGCTAGTTTTTAAATTTGACTAGGATCTATTTCCCGAATAGGACCGTAGGCTATTGGTGAGATGTCGTCGTGTGCACCCAAATTAAACTCCTAAACTCCTACAACACAAATGTAGTAAGAGAAAGTAGGGATCGATCCCATGAGGAATTCTATCACGTTAGTAGTCACAAATCTAAAAGAAACATAAAATAAATAAATAAAAAGGGGTTTTGATTTGATTGAAATATAGCTAAAACAAATTAAATTCAAAAAATGAGTTTAAAATAAATATGTAAGTAAATAAACTTTGGTTTGGGTCATATCCACTTTTGGAACTTAAGATCTATCCTTTGTGCAAGAAATACTATATTCTCATTCAAATATTTATTGTGATATTGAAATCAATCTTTCATTACGATTAGCCAACTAGAAACATCTATTCTAATCAACCCTCATTATTTAACAATCCTAGATACAATATAAGATTTAATCAAATAATGACTTATGTATTAAAAAGATCAACAAAGCAAGACAACACAACACATGTAGTTGTATTTAATCTAGTTGAACAATCTTTCTAAGAGTCATTGGCTTCGATGCAATAAACCGGACACTCCTAGTTGCTACACAAATCAAAGGGATTGAATAATTACGGATTCAATATTCGATCTAGCCATAGATTATTTCGGTTAATAAACTAACCGTGCACATTAGAAATCAACCTAAATGATCATGAAAATAAGCACGTAAGAAAGTTCAATACTTGAAAGAAACAAATTGATTTGCATTAATGTTTAAGCACCTCAAAATCTTTGATTTCCAAAAGCTTCAGCTTACCTTTACCAAGAAAAAGGGTTTAACTGCTCATGGCAGTCTCCATATCAAAAGAGATAAAATAAAGTCGCCTATACTATGAAGAATAAGTGAAAAGTCTCCGCTCTAATCTGCTAGGTTCCTATTTATAGAGGTTGTCTATTTCCCAAAAAGGGTATAAA